GGCCCCCCCCCCCAAAAAAACCCCTATGCTAACGTGTTGCAGTTCCGAGATACAATGGAGCCTGTCATCTCGCACTACGAGCTTCAGGGTACCACGGTCGTCATCCAGATAGACTCGGTGAGCACTGATAACACCCGGACGCCTTCCTCATTACCCCTGCGGAACATCTGACAACTTCCTGTCTGGGGTGCAGGTTCCGTCTGACGTGTTTCTGTGCATCAGCTTTCGGATCCGCGTTGGCTTCAAGGTGGGCGGGGCCAGCAAGTCTCTGTTGACTGTTTCTGAGCCTCAGGACAAAGGTGAGAACATCCTTGGTATGGAAATCCACATGGAGGAGGGTTGAACTTCTAGACGAGGACAATGGGCATTGTAATCCACTTGGTGAAGGCTTGTAGTTCTCTGAAGACCCGGTGCTAAAGTTGCCGTGTTAGCCTCAATGCTAGCTATCAAGGCAAACTTTCTTTTAATTTCTATGCAATTCTACCCTCATTGCTTTTGCACCTTTCTCTGCTTGAGCCAGTGTGCTCGCTCGCGGCCGCTCCAGAGGACTATCCAAAGGGAAGACTCATTCTCAAGGTGGAGGCATAATTAGCTTGCTCACGGGGCGTTGCAATTGCGCTGGAATAATGGCTAATCCGAACAAATGCGTTCAAGTTGCGTCAGTGGAGATGAATCTTGTTGTTCTTCCGTAGGAAGTTTGTGTAGCGAAGCCTTCTCCTATACGGAGCAGAAGCTGCAGCGCTTCTGTGTGGCTGACCAGTGCCAATGCATGACAGGTGACTCCGCCCCCACAATCTGATTGGTTGCCAGTCCACCAGGTGCCGTTTCATTTAACGCGTGTCATGTAACTCGTGTCGTCATAGCCGCGTGTGCGACCTACAGAGCCAACCCCGACTTGACCTTGACTGCTGCCAAACGCCTCCAGGAAACGTGTCAGCCTCACATCAAATACGGTGAGAATGCCACAACGCGTCGCGCTCGGCACTGAGACCCGAACGCAGCGCCAGCGTGACGCCACTCCATGTTTGCAGCTTATAAACTGCAAGTCAAGTCTTCGCAAACAGAAGGAGACTTTGTGACCTTCACAGCCAACGTGCGTGAAGTCCTCAAGAACACAGATCCAGGTAATCCCAAGAGACTCAATTGGAACCTGAGACCCTGAAGACTCAATCACCTACAGTGCTGTGAAAAAAAAAGTCTCTGTTGAAAACAGTAACTGATCATTCAAGTCCATGAAGAAGATTGTAAATTAGGCCATCGAGGAGTTGCGACGGTGGCGGCCATGATGTGCGTGACACGTGCCGTTTATTAGGGTTCGAGGCGTTGAGTTCCGGCTCGGAGGTGGAGCTCATCAAGAAGGTGACGTGCGACCTGGTCCACGTGGCGCTAAACCGGCAGTATCTGCTGATGGGATCCAGCGGGTCCGAGGTGCGAGTGGGCCACGCCTCCAGGTGAGCGTACCGCCCATTTCGGGGAAAGCTCCCGGGTGGACCCCGCCCCTCCCGCCTTTCACAGTGCAGTCGCGGTCCTCAGGTTCCGCCTCCCCCTGGACGCCGATGCCACACTGGAGCCGTGGCCCACCCAATGTGAAGATCCGGTCTGCACAGCGCAAACTGCCAGCATGGACGAGTACGCTCTCGACCTACAGCTCTTCAGCTGTCCGAAGCCCTGATGGCGTCACGTGACGTCGGCAGCATGCCGCGGCATAAACATGGCGGCAGCAAGAGGAGCGGTATCTTGACAGCAACTTGATGTAACGTCAGCTGGACATTGACGATACCTTGACATCATCATGACATGACAAAATGATCATCGCATTACTTTGACAACACAATTTATGTCAAGACATAGTCTTGATATCACGATATAATAAAGGCTCACAGAATCACGACAACACTGACAACGTAAAATCACCTTGACGTCACGACAAAACTGTAACATGACGAGAATGTGACATGACGGACGAACCTTTGACATGATGACTGCTTGGCGTGATGTGACATCACTTTCACTGATGAAAAACATGGATGACACACGTGTCAACAGGAAGTGACTCGCTTTGCATTGACTTTTTTGAACAACGCACATTGAGTGTTCACAATTCTATGATGCCACGCGTCAAATAAAATGAAATGCCATGAACAACTAACACTTGTGTCACGTCGCATGAGCAAGATTAAGGTGGCTGCTAAAGAGATTACCATGGAGACGGAGATAAGGCTTCTTATGGATGCTTCTTAAGACTTGTGCGAATGCAAGCTAATGCTCGTCTCCATGGCAACCAAAATGTGATTGATTTATTTGTTTGATTGGTTGTTTTGGAGGGTCTAAAGTTGCGCGCTATATTTCTGATAGGGACTTTGGCTTTTTGACAAGTCTGCTTCAGCCACACTCGCCGTACTTCAAATGTTAGTAGGTTTCCGCTAATGAAAAGCCAACTTCCCGTGTAGAGCTTTCACGATAAAAGCTTGATCCCGCTCTTCACTATGTGATGCTCTTATTGTGAAGCACTTGTAAGGAAATCAAACAATTTTGAAACGAAGGTACCCGCGGGAGTGGCTGTGACTTCCCCGTTAGCCGTTAAGCTAACGAGCCGTGCGTTTCGAAAGTCGAGCACAAAACATTTGCAAGGTCAAAATATTCTTGAATGATTCCAGGAGCGCTGAAGATGACGACCGAGCAAAGGTAGTGTCAAATGTGAACATGAAACACAGCAGCCTGCTTTAAAAGTTCCCTTTTTTTCTATATTGACTTCGTTTTATTAAATAAGATGAGAGGAGTTGTGGTTGTCTTTTACTCGTCGCGGTGCTAAACTGACACACATGAAAAAGCTTCTAAAATTCGCTTTGAATAATACAATGCCTGCCGTCTTATGCAATCATCAAAGGTAGCACCTGTTGACGTCAAGTCAAGCCAAGTGCAGCCTTCTGGTCCAGGCGCTTCATCCGTTTTCGGAGTCCGTCACCAGTCGAACCGTGATTGCGACACCCAACCTCATCGAGGACAGGCTGATATTTTCCACAAGTCAACAAGACGCAACATATTGTTTAGAAATATGGTGTGGACAGGGGGAGATAGGGACCAGCTGGCGTGGCAAAACCAAAAATCTGCATCGAATTGATGTCCTTTATAAGACCATTGAAAAAAAAAGTATCTATCTATAAAGGGCCAAAATATTTTCAATAAGGTGGAGTACATTTTCCTTGAAAAACAGGGCCCACCTGAGCGTGAGGAGACGCGCATGAAGCCGAGTGACATGAACGCTCGCCTTGAGGACGCCCTGTCCCGCATCGCCGTGGAGGCACAAGAGATCCAAGAGCTGGAGCAGCAGTTGACGGATGGTGAGGACAGGCGTCGGCCCGTCACAGGCCACCTCCTCCTCATCCTCGTCCTTGTGAGCAGTTTTCTTTTGGCGTGTGATCTCCAGGGCAGATTTTGGCCAATGAGCTCCTGCAGAAGGACCTGGAGGGGATCCTCGGTGGACTTCAGGAATATCTCAGAGGACTTCGACTTAAGGTACCACTTCACCAATTCCGGAATGACAAATATAGTACTGGTGGGGAATGTTGCGCTTTTGGTCGCTATAGCCACTATTTTATTGCGCTTCCTTGTTCCAACTTTGTTATGGGTCAATTTCCTCGAGAAGAGACAACTGTACAGTATACTGGAACAAAACTAGTATGCTGGAGACGTGTACATGCCTCACGCCTGAGTAAAAAAAAAAAAAAAAGGAACAATTCTGCTAGCTTACTGCTAACACATAAAGCGAAACGCCACAGTTGGACGAACAATAATTAGCATAGATGTTACTGTGCTCATGTGGCGCAAGTAATTCCGCTTGCTCTTGTTTCAGGCCAGTGAGCTGCAGGCTGAGAATGAAAATCTTCAGCGCCACCTGGAGGACGCTCAGAGACACCGCAAGAAGCTGGAGGACACAGCCCGGGTTTGTGATCAGGTGACCTTTGAACCTGCGTCACGGGGATGCTCGGCTCACCAACTGAATGGTGTTATTTTCCCGTTGAAAGCGATGTAAATAGAAGCCAGCCGTTCCATTCGACAAATGAATGGCACGTTTTGTTCCGAAAGCAAATTGTTCACTGGGAGGTGGGGGGTGTCTGATATTTGATGACGTGTCCGCAGAAGATGGCGGCCCAGCAGGAGGCGCTGGCGGCGCTGAAGATGGAGGCCCAGGTGCTGAAATGGCAGAAGGCGGGGCTGGAGGCGGAGCTGAAGGAGATGAGGGAGGAGCTAAACCAGCAGCTCACACTGGGACAGGTGAGCCAACGCTCCCAAAACGACACCATCCAATAATAGGATACACAAGCCTGCCACTTCTTGAGCGTTGATGAGGTCACACCATGTCAAACACAGAAGACCAAAACCAGAACCAGCGTGGAGCAAACCCAGCAGCAAATGGCCAGACTGCAGGACCAGCCGGACCAGAATCGCATAGCCCAACTCGAGGAACGTGTGACCCAGTACCAGAACCACATAACCCAACTACAAGAACAGTCTTCCAACCACCACAAGCACATAGATCAGCTTGAAGACCAGCTGACCCGATACCGGAAGCGCATAACCCAACTAGAAGATTCCGTGGCCCACCACCACCACAAGTGTATCCTCCAGCCGGAATTTCAGTCAACGGCAACCGTCGTCAGTGCCAGGACCCCTGGAAGGGGACGGGCTTGCCGCCTGTTGGGGGGCGCCAACGGCAAACCGAAACCCCACGCAGACAGGTAACGCACGCACCTCCTGACAGCACTGCACCGTTCGCCGTGTGAGTGTGTGTTCGCGCGAGACGGAAGCGCACACACACTTTGACACTCAGACCCCGGCACAGGATCTGACCGTCGTGTTGACGTGTGTGTAGGAGCGTGTTGCAGTTGTGTGAGGAGGTTCAGTGCGTGGAGCAAACGCTTCACAAGAGACGAGCCGAACTTCGCGAGGCCGACAGACGATTGATGCACGTGCACGCGCGTTTCCAGAGCAACCAGGTACACGCAGTCACACACACACATACACGTGCGACAAAAGACACACAAGACGGGACAATGAGCGAAAGAGACTTGTTTGTCTTCCAGGCCGCGTCCCAGCACAGCGCCACCACCCTGAAGCAGATGGCACTGCGCCTCAGGTCAAGAAATGCACTTTTCAACACTACTGACAATTTTAAATATGTTTGTGAAACTTATCACGTTAAAGCAGGAAATGTATCACATTCGAATATGGAATGCATCGCGTTAAAACTTAGCACTTTAGAATGTGAAACTCTTTCAAACAAACCAGAGTGCTGCAGGATGAGGAGGCGGAGCTTAGGAGGCGGACCAGGGCGGAGCATCAGCGGTTGAGAGCAGTGGAGGCGGAGCTAAGTGACAGAGAGGCAGAGTCCCAAGAACTCTGCACCTCAGTGCACATGGCCACATGCAGGTATGCATGCGTGAGACACACACAACACATACAGACACACAGATTTGGCTGTTAAGAAAATTGAAAGTGCATTTTCAAAATTTTAAAGAACAAATTGTTGTCTAAGGTTTTGGACAAGTCGTGGTGAGATGGCATGGATAATACTGTATTTGGTATGCGTCAACCCGTAACAAAATGGGCTCTGAAAATTGACCTGAAATGGGCACGATTAGCCGTTTGACCTTTTGAAGAGGTCAAGCTTCCAATGATAAATACAAGAGACACTTTGCAAACGCCAACACACTTGCGCTGACGCCTCTTTGCGCCGTTATTAATGTGATGCGCATTGTTTTTCATGAGGTTTTCAAAAATCGCGAGAGTCACCAATTCCGAACCTTTCAATTGAATTTCCGAGCTTTGAGATGAAGACTGGAATTCATAGTCAAGTACATGAAAAGTACAGCTTGACTGAAAAATGCCAAAGTGGGCGGCCAAAGGTTCTCTTCCGAAGGGCCGCATACAGAAACGATGTCGAATTTTTGTTCATTTCGTGTTCTCTATGCAAATTAAAATTCAACATATACTGTGTCATATTTGTCATTTGTGTGTGTGCAGACTAGCTGAGCTTGTGCGTGCGTGTCAGGAGGCTGATGCATGCTTGGACCGGACCCTCACTCAGGTATGACACACACACACACACACCATTGCTGATGTTCCACTCGGGTTCCAATGCTTTTGATGGTCTCGGTGCAGGTGGAGCGGGCAAGGGCGGAGCTTCACGGCGTGGAGGCGGAGCATCGCAGACTCAAGGTGAGAGTGCGCCTGTGCATTGACGCAACGTTAGCACAATCTGTCAGTGATTGGTGTTCGTGGCTTCGTTTACTCGGAAGACTGAAAGGTCAACGCGAGTGCCGAATGCAAAACGCCACGGACGGCCAAACGAATAGACTTAAGGAAAACTCATGAAAGCGAAAGATCGGTTTTGCTCACAAAATAACATCAAAAAAGCTTTGTCGAAAAACAATTAACCAAAACTATGAGAGTCCCAAGAACTCTGCACCTCAGTGCACATGGCCACATGCAGGTATGCATGCGTGAGACACACACAACACATACAGACACACAGATTTGGCTGTTAAGAAAATTGAAAGTGCATTTTCAAAATTTTAAAGAACAAATTGTTGTCTAAGGTTTTGGACAAGTCGTGGTGAGATGGCATGGATAATACTGTATTTGGTATGCGTCAACCCGTAACAAAATGGGCTCTGAAAATTGACCTGAAATGGGCACGATTAGCCGTTTGACCTTTTGAAGAGGTCAAGCTTCCAATGATAAATACAAGAGACACTTTGCAAACGCCAACACACTTGCGCTGACGCCTCTTTGCGCCGTTATTAATGTGATGCGCATTGTTTTTCATGAGGTTTTCAAAAATCGCGAGAGTCACCAATTCCGAACCTTTCAATTGAATTTCCGAGCTTTGAGATGAAGACTGGAATTCATAGTCAAGTACATGAAAAGTACAGCTTGACTGAAAAATGCCAAAGTGGGCGGCCAAAGGTTCTCTTCCGAAGGGCCGCATACAGAAACGATGTCGAATTTTTGTTCATTTCGTGTTCTCTATGCAAATTAAAATTCAACATATACTGTGTCATATTTGTCATTTGTGTGTGTGCAGACTAGCTGAGCTTGTGCGTGCGTGTCAGGAGGCTGATGCATGCTTGGACCGGACCCTCACTCAGGTATGACACACACACACACACACCATTGCTGATGTTCCACTCGGGTTCCAATGCTTTTGATGGTCTCGGTGCAGGTGGAGCGGGCAAGGGCGGAGCTTCACGGCGTGGAGGCGGAGCATCGCAGACTCAAGGTGAGAGTGCGCCTGTGCATTGACGCAACGTTAGCACAATCTGTCAGTGATTGGTGTTCGTGGCTTCGTTTACTCGGAAGACTGAAAGGTCAACGCGAGTGCCGAATGCAAAACGCCACGGACGGCCAAACGAATAGACTTAAGGAAAACTCATGAAAGCGAAAGATCGTTTTTGCTCACAAAATAACATCAAAAAAGCTTTGTCGAAAAACAATTAACCAAAACTATGTTTCAGATTTTGAAAACCAATCATCGCAAAAATGTCCTTTGTTATTGTCTTTGTGAGTGAATATCATACAGGAGCTTTCGTGTCGGTATGACGCCGCATCCGTGCAGAAAAAGGAGGACGGTCAAACAGTCGTTGGAGGGTTGGGGTTTACTTTATTACATGATACATTTGTGTACTTCAAAACGCTTTGGGGGTTTCCGGTGAGGTGAACTTTTCAGGCCTCTTTTCCTTATTTGTGTGTGTGTGTGTGTGTGTGTGTGTGTGTGTGTGTAGCGCTGAGTGTTGCAATCTATTCAGAGTGCCACACTGCAGCAACGTCATCGATGAGGAAACGGCACTCAATGCAAACTTGCTGTTTAGCTGCGAACGTCCCAAACTTATTTTTGAAGTGCAGCGGGAGGAAACAGGATGTCGAGCGCACGCGTGACTTGGAAGGTGGGACGCCGTCGCCGTGACGATCAAACGGCGGCCCGGCTCACGTCCAGTGGGATCAGCTCTTCTCCCTCGCCGTGATGACTGTTGCGAGGCAACTCGCCACCTCGGGAGCGCAACAGCTCGCGTCCACCTGCTCCAGCGCACACTGACGCATGCACGCACGCACACACACACACACACGTATGTTTGTGTTTAGTTTTTAAAAAATGTGCAACTTCCACACACATGTTAGCGCTGTGCTTTAAAACACACACACACACACACACACACACACACACACACACACACACACACACACACACAGTGTTGATGCAAGATGCTAGCAAGTTACACGCGGGCAGATTGGCACCTGCAGGTGTCCGTGGGCGGCGGCGTCCAGCAGCGCGAGGCATCGAGCGGCCCGGCGGCTCAGCTGACGGCCGACGTCGTGGCGGAGGCTCGGCTCGGACGAAGCGTCCACCAGCAGGCGCAGCAAACACGGCAGCCACACGTCGACGCTTCCCGCTAACCTGCGGGTGTGACATTCACTGTCAGTGGCCAGCAGGAAGACTTTTTCAGCACATCGTAACGTGACAGTTACTTGTTTTAGCATTTTCTCAACACGTTCTGAAACTATCCTATTATTGGGTTTGTTTTTTTTTTCTACAAATCTATTATAAATGTAATTTTTAAATCACTTTCTGAATCTTTTTTTTTCTCCAACACTTAATTGGAGGTGCGCCTTATAGGGCGTAAAATACGGTAAATGCTACGCATGCGTGCGTGTGCTTACCTTGGCCACGCTGCCGTAAAGAGTTGCTGGAGGGCTTCAAGCGTGTCAAGTCTTGTGAGCTCTTCGGGGGCGTCGCTGACCTCCAGGTAGGCCGGCAACACGCGACTCAGACGCCCGAAGTGGCGACACGCGCACACTCCCATCCTAAAGACACACGCAGACGCGGAACTTTACTGTAAAACGTTGGGTGGGGGAGGAGGGGTGGGGGATTAAACACACGCATGCACACACAGAAACACTTTGACACAAACATGCAGCCACCAATACACAAACAGACGCACAAACACGGAGACATCCGTACGCACCTTTGCAGGTAGGTCGGCAGCGCCTGCGCGTAGACTCTCCTGAGCGCCACCTTGTGTTCGGCCTCCATGCGTGTGAGAAGCAGCCGCAGCACGTCGTCGTGGCGACAGGCCGTCCGGCGGTTAGCCACCGAGCCAGCGGGGGGCACGGCCGCCGAGGGGGCGCTCTCCAAAACGGCCAGCAGGTCCAACAGGCACGACAACACCAGCTGTGCGTGCGCAACAGCTATGGCATTAGTGAGGTGCGGTCGTCGGGGCGCCGTGCCCGCACAGTCGCGTTACCCGCATGATGTCAGCGTTTGAGCCGTGCAGATGTTTGAACAGCGCATCGTACATCACGTCAGCCCGGTTCAACGCGCGCAGCTCACTGGCAGCCTAAAGACGCACACGCATGTGCACGCATAAATTCAGTGTCGAATATGAGTGGGAAAAAAAATGCACTTTGGAGTGTGTGAGCATTTCTGTAGTGTTTGCGTGTGGATTACGGTATGTGTCATGTATGGGGACTGTGTGTTTGTGTGCTGACCGTGTTGCTGACAATGTGGTGCAGGCAGCGAATTCCCAGCATGCACTTGTTTGCGTCATGGTGGTCGCTCAGGAGGAGGGCGGGGCCCAGGAGGCGGGGCAGCAGAGAGGCCAGGAAGGGGCGTTGCACCTGCGCCCGCAATGACATCACTCAAGCCTCGGCCAAGTGGGAGAGAGACCGTAACCGGTGACGTCTTCAACGGATCACGTGCTTTGTCTGCGTCGCACCTGGAAAAGCGTCCACGCGAACACCGAGTCGACCTCATCAATCTCGTCGCACTGCTGCCGCGCTTCCCTGAAACGCACGCGTGAGCGCACGCTCGTTGGTTACACCTGAAAGGACTAGCGTGACGGTGGGCGTCGTCACCTGCTGAGTGCGGGCTGCAAGACGTCCAGGACTGCCCCTAGGATGCCCGCCTCGGCGTCAGGCCCGCCCCCTGTCAGCATGTGGGCGGAGTCTCGCCAGCCTCCCGCTGCCAGCAACTGCGACTCCAGACCGCGAGACGCTTCTCTCGACGCGCGGCTCGTCCAAGAGCGCTCCTGAAAGCACGCGAATTGGAACAACTCGCATACACACACAGTCACATACAGGATATGTGTCTGTGTGTATATTCCTTTATGTGGCTGTTTGTTTTTTTGCACCAACCTGCATGTGCATGGCGGCAAACACGCAAACGTGCGGCGCCACGGCCAGCGTCACGGCCCGGGCTCGGCTGTCCGGGCCCACCGCCTGCAGTTTTGCCAGCAGGGCTTGCAGGGCAGCGGCCACAGCGGGCACGTCGGCGTAGTGACGTAGCGCGGGGGGGCCGGCATTGGTGGTGTCACATGGCGGCAGGGAAGCGCGGCCGATCAGAGCGCTGACGACAGAGACGTACGCGGCCTCCAGCCGGGTTGGCTCATCGACTGGGCCCAGCAACCACTGGGGATCGGCCGCTCGGAAGATCCAGCCCACCCGCTGGACAGGGAGGCTCGGGTCCAGGGGTTGGCCCATCAGACGCCGCCGCAGCTCGGGCAGGAGCGCAGTGATGGGTGGGAGGGATCCAGTGGGGAAGGGGCGCTCGTCATCATTCAGCGCAAGCTCGTCAAGTAAGGCTGAAAAGTCCGTCATGGCCGGCTGACACCCGCCCCCACCCCCTAAGAAAAATAATTTTGAGATTAACATATGACCATTTTATTGATATACTGCTTACTCTCTTTCAACAATTTTATTTGTAGTTTTTAATTTCGCCCTCTTTGACGATGACGCAATTAACACGCATGGCGCTTTTTGGGTTAATGCGGGCATTACGAATATAAGAAAAAAAACACGTTTTCACGTCGTCAACGCTGCACAGAAATAAAAGGCGCTTTGAAAATTCAAACTTTTCAGCACAACAATTCATTAACCGCAATAACATTAATATGTGCACGCTGACTAAGTACGCTAATGTGTCGTGTTTACCTTTTTACAAGAATAAGCTCGAGGGAATCATTTTGAGTGCCAAAAACAAAAAGCGTCAATGGACACTTCCGCCTTGAGTGCGTCCTTCGATCAAAAGGTTCCCCCCGGAAACAAAAACAAGCCAAACAAGGTGTTGGGCGTCAAACGTTCCTCCGGTGGAACTGGCGTCTTATGTGAAATTTCAAATTCTAAAAACTCTGATCAACATGAACAAACATCCATACACTTTAAATAACGCCACAGTTCAAGTTTAAGTGTTTTGAATAAACGTCACTTTTATTGAGCAAAGATTGGGCTGCTAGAAGCTATGAAGATACTTGGATGGATGGATGGATGGATGTTAAGTCTGCCATTTTGGACCCCCTTTCTGAAGCATCGGGACAGAACATTTGGCCATCAAACTCAATTTTGAATGTGATTTAATTTCCAACTTGTGATGATAAACAATGACTGCAATTTTTTCAAAGTGTGTGTGTTACTACTTTTGTGCGCATGTGTCATTGTTGGTCAGTGTGTGTATGTTTGTATGGTAAGCTGTTTGTCGAGAGCCTCAAAAACACACTGTGGATCCTGATCTGCATCCACGTGCACACCATCTGGAAACACACACTACACACACACACCCACACACACACACACACACGCACAGGTACTATCTTTATGTCACAATTGGACACGTCTTGATTATTTTGTGTGTGTGTGTGTATACCTGCAAGCCTGCGGTGTGCGTCCTGTAAACTCCGAGCGCATTTGTGACAGTGCGTGTGTTGTCATCACATTCGCGGACGTCACCGGGTGCAGTGTGAACGCTGAACAGGAAGTGACATCACTCATCACATGATATTGGCTGCGTTCATTTATTCCTCTACTTTTGTTCATATCAGGATTTTTTTTTTATAGTGTACCATTAAAATGTCCACTAAAAACTTGCATCCAGTGATTAGGGATGAGTCGGTTCATTGTTTCGAACCGCATTACTTCCTGATTAGGGATTTGGGATTCTGAACAGAAATTAGTAATTTTATACAATACAATCACGATATCAGAATTTATTTAGAAGCGTTTTTCCAGGTTTTCAACTTGTTTGAAGAACATGACCCATGCTTTTTTTGTTTTTGTTTTTCACACATCCAGCACAGTCGGTGTTCGGGTCTAACAAGCTCTGTTTGACGTCATAAAATTGAGACCATACGTAACAGTTGGCCTGAAACGATTCATCGCTGTATCGGAATTTTCGAACGCAGACAGGACGTAGCCTGGCGCTTCCCATCGAAGCGTGTACGACACGAAAAGTAAAATGGTGCCTGTCTCCATCCCGATTGAACTTCCGATCCCGATTGAGGTGTTCCTATGGAGCGCTTGCATCGGCTTTGGCCGTTCGATCGCACTGGGATCACATCACGACACTCCGCGGAAATCTTTTGTGCTAAAGAAGTTGCTGGCGTTGTAACTGACCTCGGATCAGCTAGGCTGTGCTTCATCATGGTTCTTTGCAAGCAAACGTCATCAGTCAACTCCAGAAAGAAAACCCTGCCAACACACATACAGGAGTAACAGACCGTGCGTGTGTGTGTGTTTGTTTGTTTGTGTGCGTGTCAGCACTTGTAACCTGTTCGGCGCGTTGAGTGAATCCGTCAGGTTTTTGGCGTGTTGGAGGTCGCACGGCAGGTGGTGAAGGATCCAACCTCGCTGGCTACAGTCCGGACGGTCCAGACGCTCTTGAAAGACTTTCAAGGTCACATTCTTTGGAACTGGACCATGCACATGCGGACGCGTGCGCACACACACACCTGTAAGTACTGTTTGAATATGTCGCTGCTCCGTGTGCATGAAAGTAGTCGTCGTCTGAAGGTTTGCCATTACATATATGCTAATTTCCATTAGCCAGTCTCTGATGCTTTGCATGATATGGTAGCATTGAGCTAGTTAGTAGACTTTTGAGATTAATGGGGAAAAAAAAAACAACTTTGTCCAGCTCTCCCTCAAACCCTCACATGACAACTACATGACACCTAATTTGTCATCTAGAACCAAAAAAATGTCACCGATCATGACACCTAGACCACAAAACGTGACCAAGCTCCGCCCACCTGTTCGATTGTGCTGCACATATGTTCGGACTTCTTCTCCCACTGAAGACGGGTCAGCTTCGGCCCAACTGAGAAGGTCACTGCAACACACTAACACGCCAACGAGACATCACGATGCGAGCGTGCGTGTACGCGAACGAGCGTGTACGCGTGTACCGTCCACCATCTTGTATTTGTCAGCCAGCATCTTGGCTTGAAGTCTCTTCCCTGAGCCCGGTGGACCTAGCAGGAGAACTCTGGGAGTTCGGGAACAACGCCGAGTCCGCAAAAAGGCCACCGCTAGAGCGCACGCACAGAAAACACGCACGTGAGCGCATGTGCACACATGTACATGTAAATGCGAAAAACATTTTTCAGTGGGTGTCATTTGGGCTGCGCACAAATCAGCAGTGAGTCGAACTACGTTGCGGATTGGCCGTTGGAAACGAATGCTGAATCTGAATTTTCCCATTTGAATTTACCCTTGACCATTTTTCTTTCAATTCTAGTTGTTATTTCGTTCCTTTTGGTGAACGATAAGCGAAACCTCCAGAATGTCCCTGAGAGGCGATGACACCACATTGCAAACCCGACCTTGCTGGTAGACGTCGTCAGGCGGCTGGTCAGCGTCCACCGTCTTGAGGATGTGCCGGTAGGCGGAGCTCAACCCGGTCACTTTGCAGCGGTATCGCTGCAGGTCGGCCGTCAGACCCCCTTCGCGCGCGGCGGGCCTCTTCTCGGCACGCTGCGCCACCGCCTCATCGCACGGCCGCACGAATGCCTCGTGGTACACGTCTGAGCACAGGAAGCCGCGTCACGCTCGCCGCCCCCCCGATGCCGACGGGTGAGCGGCGTACCTCCGGTGAGCGGGTCCAGCAGCCTGCCGCGATGCCGCTCCAGGAGAACGTCTTCGCCGGCGTCCAGCAGAACTGACAGGCCATCGCGCCGCGTTACGTCACTTCCTGACACGCGAACACGCCACCCAGCGCGCAAACGCTTACCGACATGTTTGGGAATGACGCCGCCCTGCTGAAGACTCCGAGCCTGCAGCCGAGTTTGAGGAAGCCCGTCCAGCACCCAGCCCTGCAACAGGCACCAACAAGCACGAATCATCACCAGGCCTGCAATCCATTCGGATTTTTCATTTTGCTAGGTTTGGTTTCGTTTTGGCTTTTCGTTTTTAAATTCACTTGACACTTGTTTTGAGAGCAGTTATTTTTTTGTCTTTGTTATTTTGTTAAAAATGCTTGCTTTTAGTCTTGTGTTAAATCGTTTGAATATTAATTTGAGTTTTTTTTCCCAAATATATGGAGTACTTACAATTTAAATAAAAAGGTCACTAAGTATTGCGTAATAAAGTAAACTCCAAACCCCCCAACGACCTTTTGACCTTCCTTCTATTGTACGGATGTACACTACTACCGAAATAGAAATGTTTCAAATCAACCTCCAGCGCTCATGTATGATGTTAACTGAAAAAGATGAAAACCAAACAAAACCAACCAAACATTTTTGTTAATGGAAAAAAAAAAACCCAAATGAAAATGCTTAAAAAAAAAGAAACTATCTTTGACTGCATCTTGCGTTCAAAAAAAAAACCCAAATGAAAATGCTTAAAAAAAAAAAAGAAACTATCTTAGACTGCATCTTGCGTTTATAAAACCAAATGATTATCAAAAATGTCATTCGTTGTCATGTTTGTCCATTAATATCATTTGAAATCTTTTTGCTTTGAGTCCAAAGAAGGAAGGTGACTTGCTCGAGAGCTTTAAGATTACAGTGCTTGACTTTATTTCACAATACCTACCTTAAAAAAAAATCTTGCATTCAAAAAATGCTCCATACATGAAACACATGAAAGTAATACTAAAACTAATCAAAAGGAAACTAAATGAAACATGCCAAACTCTTCGAACCCTGGTGTGTGCGCGCGTACCGTGTTGAAGCAGTCGGACTGTTTGAGTCGCCCTTGAATCAAGTCCACCAGAAGATCATCAGGCACCTCCTGCGGACGCAACACAAAAGCGCGTGGTGACGTCACGCCATCGCGCATGCGCGGGGGGCTGGCGCGTACCTGTTGCTTGAGCGCGTGGCGGCGCGCCTCTTCGCCCAGTGGCGATGGGTCCTCGAGGAGCGTTTCCATGGTGACGTGGACAGCTCCCAGGTCGGCGCACAGCCTCCCGGCCTGACATGACACGCGGACCGGAGCTCACGTGACCCCTCTGGCCGGGCGACCCGCTGCGTCACGTGAGCTCAACTCACCACAGTGGTTTTGCCCACGGCGGGGGGACCCATCAGGACCACCCTGGGAACTGAGGCGAGCGCGTGCGTAGACACAGGCAAAGGGAACAAAACGAGCATGAAAGTGTTGTGTAGCAACGCCACCTGCTGTTCAAAGATTTACACACGCTCGTGAAAGCTGCCTTCGTACGCGCGTGTGAGTGTGTGTGAGACTCGATACATGCCCGTGTGCGCGCGTGTGTGCGGAGAGGGGCCTGACCGTGCACGCTGCTGTCCTGGAGCAGAAGCAGAAGATACGCGATGGGGTCTTGGGGCTGGTCCACAGCCAGGCTGGACACCATACTCTGAAACACACGCACGGACGCAAACGTTCACACCTTCCAAAGCGACGTTATGCGTGATTCTGGAAGTCAGTTGGAGTATCGAAAGGTGGAATGCGATTGCACGTATGCTATGTCCGAGCGATGTTGTTTGTGGGTGATTTGGGAAAGTAACGGTCATAAGGTGACACATTGTTGCTGTCAAAATCTATCCGAGTGACTTCTGAGTGACATTTGGAGCAGCTCACCTGGACCAGGTGGATAACGTTGTGCTGGTCGGCATAGATGGACATCTGAGGGGGGACCCGCAGGGGCAGAACGCTATCCTCCATCATCAACTTCACCTTCATCAGGACGAGAACAAGGATGGGATGGATGAATGAATGAATGAATGGATGGATGGATGGATGGATGGATGGATGGATGGATGGATGGAGGGGTAGACAGGCAGACCTCTGAACTGTGAGGCGGGCGTGCTAACCAGCTTTTGCCATGAAAATGTGAAATACGAATAGATGGATAGATTAAAATGCGGACATGAATAATTTCCAAGAGAACCAGAATAAGATGAACATTTTCGTCGGAATAGTGTAAGTCAGTTGGATACATTTTCACTGTGGAAAATGACTAAAAAATAAGTTGCCTCTCTCCTTTCAGGCGAGATTTTTGGGGTGGATGCAAAATACGGAATCGCCCGGATGTTGCGCTGCTTTTTATTGTTCCCGTGACAGTGCCAATAAAGTTTTGAATGTCATGAATATAATGCCGAATAATAACATTCGTATATCAAAGTCCGCGATCCCTTGTGACAAAATGCTACCCCGTTGGCCGCGCTAGCTGCTAGCGTGAGTCTTCTCCGTTACGATCATGATCGCACCAGTTTTTCTTTCGTTCGTTGTGGAGACTCTGCCCGCGTAGAATGGCAGACAACAGATTAATTTATAGTCGAGACGTGACACAAAATGAGACACGTACTCGTCGTAATTCACACAAAAAGGGCGGCGAAGCTTTCAAGGTGGGTTAATTTAGCGCCGTTAGTCAAAATGTTGAAGGCGCGGAACACGCTCGTGAAATGTGAACTTTTTCAGGTTTTACCTGAAAGAAAAGTCTTGCTCTTTTCCTCCTTGGTGGGACGCCGACGTCGTTGTCCGGGCAACGCCGCGTCATGACGTCACCAGGGACGTGCTCGCTACGTAGTGGACAAAGCGACAAACGCAAGCAGGCTGTTTAAAAACAGATTAAAAGAAAAATCTAACAAATACAATTAAAGACAGAGTGTTTTATAAACTATACGCGACATGATCAAGTATGAATGCAATAGAATGTGTAATACAGTATACTTAAATGACGCCAAGTAGCAACACCATGAACAGAGTTAAAATACAGCGGCGAAGTATGTCAGCGTACTCAAGAGATGAGAGCGGGAAAAAAAGTGAAAAATATGATGACACAAAAATGAAGTTACGAAACCACAAGATGGAAAAAAAAATATGACATACATGCTGGCAGGCACACACACATGCACAAACGGATACGCATATGCAGGACATGCACAAATCCGCACATAAACAGGTGGAAAGTAATTAAATAAAAATGGGAGTGTGTCAAATCATGAAGTACGTGTACTGCAATGAAAGAAATGAGCGTGTGAAATTATGTGAACTGAAATAAAACTCCAAAAGTCGGCATGAACTATAATCCCTTTATTATTTCGATTTCACATTGTCAAGAATCAAAACGGCCGTCGTCACATCTGCGGCGCCACGTTGTCGTAGTCCATGATGCTCAACTCGCGCCGTCTTTGGTGTACGGCCAGCGAAATGTCGAGGGCGTCGCCAAGTGGCGGAGGTGATAGGCAGCCCCCCATCTGGGGACTTCCTGCCCGGAGGGTGGCATCCTCACCTGGACTTCCTATCTGGATCTGTTCATCTTCCTTCAGCTCTTCTTCTTCATCATCATCGTCATCATCACCACATGTGTCATCTTCATTCTCCAGCTGCTCCGCCTCTTCTGGACTGTGATTGGGCGGTCTGAAGAGCTCCCATGCCCTCTGCTCCAAGAAGGAGCCAATCGCCAGCGGGGACTCAATGGGGGACAGTGGGAGGGGCGATGACGATGAAGCGGAGGTGGGGAAGAGGAAGGGGGAGGTGGACAGGCGGGACACGCCATCGCAGTTTACGACAGCCACGCCAGACGAAGCAGAGGGCTGTTGATCGGGCTCATCAACGGCGGGCCTGCGGGAGAAAAGATGATGACATCACGTGATGTCGCCATCCGGTGTGATGTCACCACCCAGTGTGATGTCACTCATTGTCACATGACGTCCCCGAGGATGAGGTGGCATCATGAAGAGATCACCATGATGACATGTTATGCCACCACCCTGGACGTCTTCACGTGAGTACCATGATGACATCACTGAAAGATGACGTACACATTGTTGTGTGATGACATCACGTGAAGGTGCGCAGGTGTGTGTGTGTGTGTGTGTGTGTGTGCGTGCGTGCGTGCTTGTGGGACCTGCTGAGCGCATCCAAGGCGCTGAAGAGTTGAAGCATCTCACTCTGCAGAGTTTGGACAGTCTTCCGCAATGCTGTGCATTGGGCCTCGCACGCCGACAGCTCACCCCTGCCAGACAGACAGTGTGTTGGAGAGAAAGTGTGCACACACACACACATACACACATACACACACACCTGCTGCGTCTCCTTTGGTCATCCAGCAGCTGCTTGTGTTGTTCTATGAGCGCCTCCTTTTGGGCCAGTTGCTTGTCCAGCTCGGCCGCTCTGTGATTGGCCGCATCCAGCTTCTGCCTGTGCTCTTGCTCCGCCTCCTTGGCGCGCTGGAACTCTCGGCGGGCGACGCCGCCCAGCATAGACGCTTCCTGGAGAGTGTGGCCACACCTCGCTATGGTGACCACAAATGTCTCGTTCAATTTTGCGTGAGTGTGTGTGTATGTGTGTACTGACGGTGCTGCTGCGCGGCGGCTGCGTGTCCAGTTGGTGCGTGAGAGCTTTGTTGGTTTCTGTGAGCACAATTAAGTGTTGGTTGAGCAGGAAGATCTGTTGACGTAACTTGTCGCTGCTGCTCAACTGAAACGAGACGTCGTCACCGGTGTCATGTCATCATGGCTCGCATTTGATGGACAGCTCTCCTGGCAACTCTCCCACCGCCGCCACTCAACTCACCTTGAGTGACAGCTGGCTCAACTGGCGCTCGGCATTGGAAGCCTTATGATTGGACTTCTGAAGCTCCACCTCCAAATTCTTCATTCTGCTCTGACACTCCTGAAGCTTGCTCTGGAACAGCCAATCAGAGGTCAGTCGGCTCCACACGGTCAGTGACAGGAGAGTGTGTGTGTGTGTGTGTGTGTGTGTGTGTGTGTGTGTGTGTGTGTTACCTGCAGCGCGAGGTGTTGCGCATTGTGTTCCTGCTGCTGCTGCAACAGTTGTTGCACGTGTGCCTGGAGCTGCTGCGCGTGCAAATGCGCATCCCGTTGCAGTTGAGCCGAGCGCTGCCGCTCGGCCTCCAGGTTGCTCGTCAGCGCCCTCGTCTCCTCGTCCTGCACCGCCAGCTGAGTGCGCTGCAGAGGCGGAGGCAAAGCACAGGCACTGCCATAAAGTAGGGATGGGCGAGCCAGTGTTCAGTGTCGGACCCAGAGCGGCCTTACTTCAACATATCGGGTGCTCGGGAAGCCCTCCAGTGGCCGTCCTACTGTTAGGAAGCGAATGAAGTGCGTAGCTGACGGAACATTTCTCGGTGCCAATTGAATCTTTCACTATCTTCTCATATGGCCATTAAATGGGAAGTGTGAAAACAAATCATGATTAAAAAAAAAAAGTTCTGTGGGCCGCGACTAATCGAAACATGGCAATCTGATGAAAATTGCATTTGGGGGAGAATGAATTGAAGATGCAAAAATGTTTCGATCCAACGCCTTTTTGCTGTCAACTGCAAACAACGTCACAGGGCTCCGAGATCAACCAATCACGGCTCACTCGTTTTCTGAGCTTGGTCATGTGACACTCGCAAGCTCAGCGGTGATTGGATGTTGGTATTTGTAGTACGCAAGAAGGAATACCCGTAGTGTTCTGAAAAAAACAGTGGTATCGAACATCATTCATCATCAGCCAAGCAAGCAAACGATTCCGAGGCAACAAGTTTTCAATTCACATCCCTTCTGTTCATAGCGGGCCCCCCCGCATACGCCTTGATGGCCTCAAACGGAAACCAATAGAATTTCTCTGCTCCCTTTCGCGAGCGGTCTGAGCTTATATGTTACCATGGCGACGCTCTGCTCCTCCAACGCGGCGGCGCTGACGACGCGGCGCAGGAGGCGCCGGTTCCTGATGGCGTGCTGCTGGCGTTTGAAGCGCTCGTACTGTAGCTGAGCCTGCGTCAGCTGCAGGCCTCGCCGCAGCGCCTCCGCCTCCTCCACCTGCACGGAGCCTGACACGCACGCACAGTCACACGTACGCAGGGTCAGTCCTGCTCATGTAGCGGGCGCACGAGGACGGCCACTAAGGTTATTGTAGTTAACCGACACGAAGTAACGAAACGGAAAAAAATGACATATGTCCAAATATGGACATCATTAATGATCAATAAGAACGCCCGCTAATATCGTTGGAAGTAAAATGTGTTGAGCTCAAAATTCGTTCTTGTTTCGCAAAATAGTCCTACCTGAATCTACCGTAAATGGCCAGGGGCCGTTCTGAGAGCGCCACTAGACCCCCGACTTTGAAAGAGGCGCAGTGCGGGACCCTGGTGAGTTTGGACTATTTGGGGAGCGCGTCGCAGCCGATGGCAAGGTTTGAAAACGAGGAGGCCAAAAAGGTTTTACCTCCGTTAGCGATGCGCTTGAATGAAACGTTTGAGTGGCATTTCATGAACAGGCAAACAAACACATTTGCCGTTTAACTGCACGCGCTTTGTGGGACAACTCAACAGGTTTGCCTCATTGTGTGTCAAGTTAGTGAGTTAGTTTGAGTACCTTTGCTTCTCATGCTCTGTTGTTTACCTCCAGAAGGGTTGCGATCCAACGACTTGGCGGGTGCTGAAGACCTACAAGACCCGGCGGGGGGAAAAAAAAAGAAAATTGAGTCTTCAAGTTAAGTGTCACATGAAGCACCATCTTGCTCATGTCCTCATCTTGTAAAGGTGATGGTGAGTGTATGATGTGCTGGGCGCAAAAGTGACATTTTAATTTGTTGTATGGGATGTGAATAATTCATACAAGTTGACAGAGAACTACTTTTGAAATAAAAAGCTGCTAAATAATTTGAGAATGAAGAACAGTCAAACACACACACTGACCACAGGGGAACAGGCACACCGATGAAGGAGCTGCTGTTGGCCACGGCTCACAGCCAGACACTCACACACCAACTAACAGGCGCTGCTAACAAGCTAGCACACTCACCTCCTGCTAAGGCTAACGCTAGCGTGCGTGTCGTGTCCGTGGGCGATGAGGCGGTCCAGCAACTGCAGAGGAGACGCGGCGATCATCTCTTTCTCCTCATCTACGTCCTCGTCATTGTCACGTTTCTCGAGCGTCGCCGTTGGGTGCTGCGCCTCCATCTTGCGTTGCGCCTCCTGCAGGGGGAAGCGGCACTGACGTCACTGAGGCGGCCGTCGACGGTGGTCAAGGCCGGCTACCTGTGTCTTGCTCTTCACAAACAACATGGCGGCGTGGGGAAGCGCAAGCTCAAACAGGAAGTCGTAGGAGGGGGCGGGGCCGGTGGCATTGCGCGGCGAACCAGAGCAGGGAGGAGGTGGGGCTGTGTCAGACATGGGCGGGATTTGGTGGCGGGCGGGCGTGGAGGTGAGGAGGAGGGAAGGCAGGGGGGAAGAACAGGATGAGGAGCAAGGCTGCGGGGGGCAGGCCTTGTCTACTGGAGACAAAAGCATCAAATTTAAGGGCACGGGTGCGGCTTCAGGGTGGAGCCTGGCGTTTGAAGACGAGCTCACCTTCAACATCATCACGCGCTGGCTCCATCACCTCCTTCCTGATTGGCTGTAGCCTGACCTGTGGACAGCGACAGAGGCTCTTCCTGATGCTCCTTCAAAATAAAAGGCAATAACAAGAGTAGAAGAGCAAAGAGCACTCAAGTCACCTGTGAGCCCGCCGTACGCCGGACGCCATCTGGACTGTCTCCTATGGGTGGGGCCAAGGCTGGAGGGATACTTTTTACACCTGAACACACAGACACGCATGCAAACACACCTGAAGCATGTTGGCAAGCACACATGCACGTATGTTACCTGTGCAGGCGTGTTACCTGAAAGCGAGTTGTTTCTACTCAGGGAATGGGCGGGGCTTACAGCCGCCATTTCTGGAGGCGGGGTTGACAAACCACATTGGGAGGAGGGGCTCCATTTGACATCGAGCTGGGCAAAACATGTTACATCATCAAGCTCCAAGCATGTGACCATAGACATCCAATGGACATTGTCAGATGAATCGCCACATTACTCACTCACACACACCCACACCCACACACACACACGGCCATACTTGCAGATCCAGGTGGTCAATGTTGAGCATGCTTCCTGAGAGGCATGAATTGTGCGTCCACGTGGAGTCCCTGCTGCTGCATGCTGAGCAACCAACAGGAAGTTAGAGACAGGAAGTTGGTGACAGGAAGTGGCCAAGTGACTCACCGCCAGGGAGACAGGTTTGGTCAAGGTGGGTGAGTGGGGGCGGGACTAGCTTGTGGTCATCACAAGAGTACTCCAGAGGGTCCAGGGAGACTCGGGAGCACTCCATGATGATGTCGTGGACCTCCAAGCGACGCCACCTGATGCCACAAACACGGGACCAATCTACATTTCAAAATAAAAGTCCCACACCACAGGATGACTTTGGGGGACTGACTGACCTGGAAGGATCCACTTCTGAGTCCTGAGTCCCGCTCACCAGCTCGGGATGAACACGCACCTGATCCAACATCGGCTGACAAACAACAACATTGGACACATACAACTCACTTCAAATACATGATCAACTTACATCAAACACACACGTGCACACACACACCCTAGCTGATGCCGTCTCATACCTTGACCACGTGGTGGAAGATGTCCAGGTTTTCCTTCATGCTGTAGTGCAGGCGCAGGTAGGACAGGAAGTTACACGGGAACATTCCGTAAAGGCGGTGGAACAAGGCGTACACTCCGGCATGAAGATGGACAACGTGGGAGGCGGGGGCGTGGCCTGCACAGCGCACGGCACTTTTACAACCACAATTCGATCGAGAATCCAAAACAAAGAGGAGTCTTATCTCAAGTAAGTCAGCTCTGCGTTGCGACAAGTCGGATTGTTGCGTGTGCCGATATTCTCAAACAGCCATGAGCATGTAGCGCCTTCGGCTAACATTTTTACCATCTCTATCAGTGTGTGTGTGTGCATCACCAGGGTTTTTGAGGCTCCATGATGCCAGGCGTCCAAAGACGTCAAAGAAGTCATAGATGTGTTGCTTTGCGGCCTGAGGGATCATGGGTAATAGCGTCACTAATACCAGCACCCCGGGCACCAGCACCATCACATCACCGTCGCTCTAAAGGCAAGGCAAGGCAAGGCCAGGCAAGTTTATTTCTGTTGCAAGGTAACTCAAGGTGTTTCACATGATTAAAAGTACAACACATGAAAACTGATTGGTATGTTAAGCATTTGGCTTTTTCTCCTTTTTTTTAATATTCACTCAAATGCAACATATGGTAATTATCGTGACAGGCCAATGTGTGTGTGCTTCACCTTGAGGCAGCGCAGCAGCGAGGTGAGCAGAGGTGATCGGCTGACGTGATGAATCCATGGCGGTTGCCGGCTGATCATGTGACCCAGCAGAGTAACAGCAGCCAATCGGTTCGCTGGCCTGGACACTGCTTCGTTCAGTTTGTCCAGCAGGGCCTGAGAGAAGCAGGCACACATAGCACATTTAAACACAGACTAACACACAAGCCAGTCTTTCTCATGGGTGTGTGTATTAATTATTTGTGTGTGTGTGTGTGTGTGTGTGTGACCTTGTGTAGGGGTTCTCTGATGGAGGAGAGCAGTGTCAGAGCCAAGGCACAAGAAGAGTTTAAGTAGAAATCAACCAGACTGCAGAGCACAGCGCCTCCTCTGTCTGCCAGGACACATTGCAGTCAAACTCAAGGCCAACAGCCACACAAACACGCACACACAGGCGCGCGCACGCACGCACAGGTGGGCGGGGCACTGATAAGCACCGCACCTGAACTCAGCTGTTGGCTGATTGCTGCTCGGCCTTGCTTCGCCTCCTGCAGGTCCGAACTGTCCAATGAGAGCAGGAGCTCACCGATGCTCACCTGCTCCTTGGACATCCTGCGCGGTTTATCAAATTTTAGAGATTATGCCTCATAAAAGTCAAAGATTAAACCAAACAAATGCCAAAAATAACACTTTGAATGATGCAATAGCGGTAAGAAACAATACAGATTGAGGTTTAGGGGTTAACGTCAGCATGGCAACCGATCCACTTTTTAAAAATTTGTGTCAAATTACTTTGTGACGTCACGAGTGAGCCACCTTTGCTCAGTCACGTGTGCAAGCGCAGCAGCCGCTCGGTTAGCCTTGGGCCGAGCTAACATGCTAACAGCTGTCACGCTACCACAAAGGTTCGTTGCCAAAGTGGCTCCCGAAAAGCCCACATGCTCAACGATCGACTCGGGCTGACGTCAATACAAACTCCATGACATAAGCTTTAAAGTTTTCAAAGTTTTTTTTTTACCTTCAGACGCGTTGAGCAGTGCAGGACGCCGCCATGTTGAGCAACAAAAGTCCCGCCCCCAGCGAGAAACCCAACACCTGCCCCTGTCAATCAATGCCTGGAGAGGCGTTCAGTGCACAGGGAAAAATTCTGGAAAATTTAACAGGTAGTTTGAGTTAAAAAAACAACAAACAAACAAAACAGATGGAACAAGATGATAAATCGGTGACAATGAAACTTTTCTTGCTCCTGAATTTGACAACAATGGTTTGAAAATTCTATTCATACTTTTTCATATTTTAAGGTGACTATTTTCATGCTACTGTGTGTTTTAAGCTTGAAACAAGAGTTTCAAGTTTTACCAACTTTATATCAAACAAGAGTTAAAACTTTAACCAACTTTAGATCGTACCCTGAATGTCTCTTTTTGGCATGACAGGATTTGAAGAGTTGACGCTTTTGTTTCCATTAAAAAAAACAAAAAAAAAAACGTGATCAATGTCGCCCCAAAATTCATATCAGTTGGCTGATATGCCCAATGTTTGACCCATACCCACACCAAAGAACTTTTTTAGATTTATTCACTGTTTTAATTCACTGCAGTGCATTTCTGGCCCCACTCACAAACACTGTCTGTCACAAATTTGAAAGTGTTGGACAATGAGATTTCCGATCACAGAACTGTGCTCTATGATGCAGCGTTTTCCTGTACTCATCATAATCCACGTCCTCTATTCAAAACTACTGATTGTGCAAGCAAACAAGAGGATCACCTCTCTCCAACTTTTTCTTTGTTCTCTGAACTCTTTCTGCTTTTGATGAGTGAAGCCAGATTTTGTTGTGACGTCTGCCGCGTCAATATATAGTCGGTGTCACATTCGCTGTGTAAGCCAAAAGTTGCTTCTCTTGTTTGATTCAAGTATAACATAAACATGAGCGAACATGTCGGCAAGTGGAAATCCTTCAACTTGACTGATGAAAGCGTTCAACTTGGGAGGAGTGAGAACTTTGCAAGAACATTGTTATCTTGTCCCGTAGCAACAAAAAAAGTGTTTTGTTTTCACTCACTGCATCAACGAACATGATGCAGAGATAACAATATTGACATACGTCCAATGGAACTGTGTGTGTGTGTGTGTGTGTGTGTGTGTGTGTGTGTGTGTGTGTGTGTGTGTGTAATGATTGACCACAACTTGTTAGTATATGATTAAGTCAGCGAACATCTGCGCTCGTTCTCACGTCCTTGTGTATGAAGTACGTCGACACAAAGATTCGCAATCAATCAATTAAAAAATTGTAAGTTGAGGGGTCCGTTGTTTTTAGTGGATAGCTCAACTTTACGAACGGCAAAAGGAGAGATGGAATCCTTTAAATGTAGTTTTATTAAAAGGGGAAAAAAATACGCCGGCACCGCAGCACGTTCGAGAACACAACGCTCGTAACTAAAATCACTTCCTGCTTCTCTTACGTCAACAGCCAATCAGAACCTATCAACATAAAAACACGTCTAAGCAATTATTAAACGACAGAATGTAATTTAGGTATTCTTAACATGAAATAATATGATGCTCAAACATAAAATGATAATAATTAATAATATAACATAAGCTTACAAAATCAACGTCGTCTTATTCATGACGCTGTTTCCGCACATTTATGGTGCGAAAATGACAACTTCCACTCAGCGCCACGACGGCATCTGTGGCAATCATCGATAAAACAGCACTCAGCTGCTCATGAATATGGCATTTCCCACTTTTCTGCTAAAATGAGTTGGTGCTCGGGACACATAATTTTGTTGAAAATGTAATTGTCATATCATATAAAATGTAATACATACCGTATATCTACAGAGACAACAATTTAATGAAACAAGACAATTGACTGAGTCAATACATGAAAAATAATATGGACAAAGTTGAGGTTAGCATGTTGGCTGGGCCCTTGGCAAGCGTTCCAGTTTCTCAGGGGGGGCCCCCTTTGCAAAATTAAATTTGGTGGATGCCCAGGGAGGAGCCCCCATCAGGTCGGGTCCAATTTCTGCAGGCCCCTGTAGTACACAAGCGCCGCGTGTGTGCGCACATCGCTTGCTGTTGTGATGCAAAAGCGGCCCGGCTATAAAAGGCCGCCACCGAGTCGACATGTGAGAAGACGAATACGAAGACGAGGATGAGGATGGTCACGACGCTGGCGGTGGCGCTGATGAGCATCTCCATCACCTTGGTCTCGTCTGCGAAGGTTAGGAAACGCTTGGAAATCTGCAAGTCCTTTCAGAGCTCGTGTTGGCTTTGTCACGACGGGTGCGATTGCGTGCGTGCAGCTGGGTGTGGTGCAGACGGAGAGCGGTCGGGTTCAGGGCACCAACAAAGGCACGGGACTGTTCACATCTGTGGACGTGTTCAAGGGGATCCCCTTCGCCGACACTCCGGGACTGTGGGAGAAACCGAAACCGCATCCAGGATGGGAGGGTAGGTAACGGATCTTTCCCGAACTGCAGAGACGCTTCATTCATGAGAAAAAAAAGGTCGTTTTTAGCTTATCCCTCTTCGAAGAAAAAACAGCTGAACATAAACTGGTTTCACCAAAAACAACAGTTTCTGACCAAAAAGCAGAGGAAAAAAAACAAAACGCAAGCAAAACACTCCAAAAATGGATAGGATGTGTTGTGTTTAGACTTTTAGTGTGTGTGTGTGTGTGTGTGTGTGTATGTGTGTGTGTGTGAAAAACAAATAGTTGTGTAACACGCACATTCCTACACCAGCTGCAAATGACGCAAAGTCACTCAAGTCAACACGCAGGGTGGCTAACCGGTTAGCCAACCGTGATTGACCCCCACGTGCATTTTCGGCAACCGGTCGTTGCATTGTGATGTCATACCGTCATGTGTGCGCAGGGGTGCTGAAGGCCACCAAGTATGCCGAGCGCTGCCTGCAGGTGACGCTGTTGCAGACCCAAACTCGGGGCAGTGTGGATTGTCTCTACCTCAACATCTTCGTGCCACAGGGACTCAAACGTACGCGCCAACTCGCACGCCATGTCTCACCGGGTCGCGCAACAACACGTCACGCCAGAGGTCAAACCACGTCGCAACTGGTGTGACACCGGACGTCATTTCTGAAATTGCGCCAGATGTCACACCGGAGCTCACGTTTGATGTCACACTGACTTCCCAACAACACACACACACACACACACACACACACACACACACACACACACACACACACACACACACACACGAGAGTCGTGAGTGATTGGTCCTGCATGTGCGCGTCAGTGTCGTCCAACCTGCCCGTCATGGTGTACCTGTTCGGCGGGGCCTTCCTTCTGGGGGCGTCCAACGACTTGGCCATCCTGGGGGACTCGCTGTACGACGGCAAGGAAATGGCCGAGCGGGGGAACGTCATCGTGGTGTCGGCCAACTACCGCGTGGGAACCTTGGGCTTCCTCAGCAGCGGAGACGCTCGCATGCCAGGTGCGCAAAGCGCAAACGGCCTCAAATATTTCACATGCTGAACATGCAGCGCGGAAGTTGGTCACTCGAGCCACCGTTTTTTTGTCACCTCCGTTACAAATGGAGGCCACGGATAACCCTGTTAAAAAAAAACAAACAAACAAAAAAAAAAAAACAGGGTATACCTGCAAGTCTTGCTGGTGACCATCACGAAAGCACAACAAAAATCACGCATTATTTATTTATTTATTTATTTTAGCGAGGAAGGGCTTGATAAAAACATCAACTGTATGTATACTATACCCAGCCCCGGCCTCCCTGTGTGGAGTTTGCGTGTTGTCCCCGGGCCTGCGTGGGTTTTCTCCGGGTATTCCGGTTTCCTCCCGCATTCCAAAAACATGCATGGCAGGCAAATTGAACACTCCAAATTGTCCCAAGGTGTAAGTATGAGCGCGGATGTTTGTTCATCTCTGTGTGCCCTGCGATTGGCTGGCAACCGGTTCAGGGTGTCCCCCGCCTAGTGCCCAAAGACAGTTGGGATAGGCTGCAGCACCACCCGCGACCCTTGTGAGGATAAAGCGGGACAGAAAATGAATGAATGTATCCTATAGAAAAACTCGCATGTTGGAGAGAAGTGTATATGACTAGCAGCTGAGTTAAAAAAAAAACAAGACAAAACAAAACAAAAAAACGTCCGTAGGCATGAAGAGGTAGATAGGACGTGCTCCTTTTCAGCTGCTCGCCGACGGCCGCGCTAAGATTATGCGGTTGCGGAACCGTCAGGGAACTACGGCCTGTGGGACCAGCACGCCGCCATCTCGTGGGTGCGAAGGAACATCGCCGCCTTCGGAGGAAACCCAGACAAAATCACCATATTTGGA